TGGCAATCTACTCACCTCAGCCTCCCAAAGGCACAGGATTACAGGCTGAGCCACCGAGCCCAGCAAGTGTATTTTATATACATGATTCTAGACTGTCATCTAGTACTGTTAGCAGATACTCAGCTTTTCCTATAATTTGGCCACTTATTTTTAATTCCTCTCATTCCCGAATCCTCTGAACAAGATGCCTCTTTTCCTATAAATGTCATATTTTGGAGACTCCACACAATTTCCCACTGTGCCCTGTCAAATGACTATTAAGATATTAGTAGTTTAGGCTGGGTGCGGTGGCTCAAGCCTGTAATCCCAGCACTTTGGAAGGCCTAGGTGAGGGGATTGCCTGAGCCCACGGGTTCGAGGCCAGCCTGGGCAACTTGGTGAGACCACATCTCTACAGTAAATAAAGAATTAGCTTGGCATGGTAGCATGTGCCTGTAGTTCCAGCTACTTAGAAGTTTGAGGCTTCCACTTGGGATTGCCTGAGCCCAGCTGGTCAACACTGGGGTGGCTGTGAGTGTGCCACTGTACTCCAACCTGGGCGATGGAGTGAGACTCCAACTCAAAAAAAAAAAAGAAAAAGATATTAGTAGATTGGAATTTAGGCATATCTTCTGAAACAGAAGGCCTGCTGTTATGCTGAATAATGACATTTCACTCAGTATTATATGATTTACTGTCAGCTTTTTATTCTTAGGTAACATATGTCCTTTCTTCAGGCTTCATTAATGGTTGGGGACCCCTCCATTGTTTTTTAAACAAACATTTTTGCTGAAGTATAACATACACATAAGACACTGCACAGAACGTAAGTGTACAAGCTGACATTTTTCTTTTTCTTTTTTTTTTTAGCCTTTATCACTTCTTCCAGGATAAGCTGACATCTTTAGAAGGTAACTGACATCTTTGGAAGGTAAATACTCCCCTTTATCCACCACTGAGATTTTTTTTTTTTTTTTTTTTTTTAGTTAGATCTTCTTACATATTACGACACTGATGTAGTATAATAACTTTTTTCCTGTTTCTCTCCTTAAAAAATATTTTGTTAATATTTTTCAAAGTCATTAAACCTCTTTAAAAAAACTTGATCTTTGATGATAGTGGAGAATGTATTGTCACTTAATCATCCCTCTCCTGTTGAGTAATCCTGCTGTTTGTAGTCTGCTTTTTCCCACACACAAACACAATTTATTAGGAAATTTGACTAGCTCTAAAATCCAAAATAGTCCTAAGGATGACACTAAGGGGAATTTAAAACCTGCAAAACAGCGCACTCCAATCCAGTGTCACTGGGGATGTTTCACTTCTGCCCTGAAAGAGACTCCTCTTCAAGGAAGG